TTTTGTTCCACCAGTTTATCTGAAGACTATTCATTTAGCTCTATATCATTCAGTATTGTTACATTGTAATATGGAAAACATACCTAGGTTGTAAACACTCTCTTTTGTGGTAATATTGAAATGAATTATTATCACAATTGCAAATATGTGACCCAATCAAGAATTACGTCATTATCAGCTGAAGTATCTGACTTTAAAGACATAAAATATATTATTACTCAGCTCCAGGTCCCCAAAAATATCCCTGGCTTCCTCACAATAGCATCTGAAATGGAGTCCACAAACCAGTAATTTGCGTGAATCGTCACACTTCAAATATAGATAAATTCAAATGCTTTGACAGAACTTGAGAAAGAACAGAAAATCATATCTTCCACCTCCAAGATTGTTTCTTTTTTCAAAAGAAAAAAGAGGAAAAAACTGACCCCCCTAAAAGAAGGATAAGCCGAAAATGAAACACTCCTGAGCAGTGAAGCTGTAAATAACAGTATTCTCGGGACAAGATTAAAGAGTTACAAAGTATAAACATCCATAATAGCGATTTCAGGCATATTATTAGCATACAGCTGTAAACTTTGACCTAAACATCATAGGCGGCAAAATCAGCACCGCCCAGCACCCGTTGAACCTGTCACACCCTTCCCAGGGATGTGTGGGGCGGTGTGTGTCTGTGTGCTACCGTGTCTGCCTGCATGGAGCAATGAACCGGTTTTAAAAAGACATGATAACTCTGAACGTGCGATTAACATCTTTTGCCAAATAAAAATGAAATAAAGATATGTGTGAGGGTGAATCCTATTATCCTTTATTGAACACTTTTTCATTAGACCGAGGCCTTTTGAATACCTAAAGTCTCAAAGATTCAGTATGAGGGAGGGCGAAAAGATGGGAACAAATTATCTACTGATGTCTCTTTTAGATACTTCTGTCCCACTGGTGTGTACTCAACCCACGCTATCTCCCCAACTCTCCCCAACCCTGTGTACCCCCACTTCTTTCTATCTATTCCTTATTTGACTTAATGCTGATAAATGAGCCAGTTCGCAGCCATTTCTCATTCTGAGCATCCTGGGTGGATTTCTTTTGCAGTGCCCTCCTCCTTTTAAGTTATGCGGCTAGTTGCAAGGGCAGAAAAGATTTTCATAGTTTAATCCTGTTCAAAGAATTCACCAAATAACTGTTGTATATAATACATATAGATATATATAGTGTGTGTGTGTGTGTGTGTGTTTGTGTTTGTGTGTGTGGGTGTATTAGAAATGATTTAGGAAAGTTATCCCGTTGTGTGCAGTGATCTGAAAAAAAACCTCTCAAATACAAAAATGAAGAACACTGGAGCTGTTATTGCACTTTAAGGGGAAGACAAGCTGTTAATGTTTACCTTGGAGACCCTAAGTCTTAAAAGCATAGCCATTGATGTAAATTAACACCATTATTCATCCAATAGTTTTCAAGAACATTACCATAATTGCCATAATTGCATACAATAAAATGAAAAAACAAAACAAACTTTGCTGCTCAACTGGAGCAGTACGCACCCTGCGCTACTGTTCTTTGTATAGTTGTGTTATTTCCTCAATAATTATTTTTTGTAAACTTATCGTAACCTCCAGCCAGATTTCGAAGTTGCTGTACTTTTCTTTCTCTCTCTCAGGGCAGTGGGTGTTGAGAAGGATAAAGAGAAAGAACTCTGAGCAAGTGTAAGAGAGATGTTGAGCTTCACTTACTGCTGGCTGCATGTGACACTGGATACCATATCTGGGTCAGACCTCTCAGTCTGGTTCAGGCGTCATGCGTGATCCTGCAGGGACTATTTCTTAACGGGAGCATGGGTGGGAAAGGAGATGGCTTTTTGAGATTATCTTGTTTCACAGGTGTGGCATGGCAGATAAAACAGTTACTGGTAGGACAGCTGAGCAGAGATTCATCATTGGCACTGCGGGTTGAAATGTTCGCGGACCAGCTGGTGAGTTCTCACAGTTATCGATGGCGCAGAATTCCCACTCTCACCACTAGTGTGTACCAGTGTCTGTATTTTTCTTTTCCACAAAGTTGTTGTAAAAAGTGATGGTAAAACACAGTAGGGTGCTCCCTTGACCCACTCCACTGAGCCGTGCCCTTGTGTTACCCAGAGCCTCTGGGGTGCGGGCCTGTTGATGTCTATAGTTTAATCAAACTGGCAGCATGGCCTGTGCTGACGGGATGTGTTATCTGAACAAACTGCACTCTGCAGCTGGCTCTTCAGTCCTTAAAATGTGGCTCGGTGATTAGAGCCATGGCGAGAGACGGCATTGCTTGTTTTTCTGTGCATCAGCGAGTTCCACACTCACTTAATCAAGAAGACACTTCAAAAAGTCTCTGTTGGTCTTGAATTAATTGATTATCTGTTCATTACATGATGATTTCTGCATGTTCCTTTTGATTGCTCAGTGTGGCTCTGAATGATTGTCAGACCTGTAGTTGATCGTGTGTGCGAACGCACGCAGGAACTACTCTGCTCAGTGGCTTATGCCATTTTGTCTCACAGCTCAAAGTGGAAAAGATTTCACTGCTGGAGCACATTAATTTAGAATGACATGATTCCTCCTGACACTGCCTGTAGTGTCTGGTGCATTCGAATGGAAACATTTGACCATATTTGCGAGTGGGCGTCTTTGAAGCATAGTATGGAGCAGTGGGAGCCTGCTAACCACTTATGTGTTAAAGCGATTGTGATTGATGGCAGGAGAAAGCATGCTACTGGCAGAGTGCATGTCGCCAAAGTGGCACATTTTTGGCAAATGTTAGGCAAACAACAACAACAAAACAACACAATTTGTATTCCCCTATTGTTTCAGTTGATATTGTTACAATCCATGTTGTAAGTCTGCTTGATGTTGAAAAACTAGAAACATCTTTGACAGAAACCACCTTGAGAACATGGGTTAATGCTTGTGTTTTTTAGGATAAAAGGACTGTGGGGGGCTCTAACAATCTAACACAATTTTGACAAAAGATGTCCTGCATGACAAGAGAGGCAGAAATGTGGCAAAAACTTTATTCAAATTAGTCTATAGGGGTTGCACCATAAGTATGGTACTCTGTATGTGGAACCAGGTGTAGCTTCTTTTGTACTCTTACAGTAACTTACAAAAATATGTCAATAGCTTTTTTGTAATATTTCTACTAATCTGCAGAAATGATCTCCCTTTTGTCCAATAAAAATAAAAATTCTGTTAATTAATCTGCTCGTATTTATATCTTCGGGATGCTCTTCATATTGTTCAATTTGGTAATATCTTTGACAAATCCAGTAATTCTCTTTGGAGCTTGGAGCTCAGAGGGAGTCTGTCAGAGCAATCACCAAGAACATCTTGGTGTGACCAGAATTTTCAAAGGTGGTACGCTCAATGGGAGATCAGAACTAAATCATTAAATTACAACATCGTTCTCATCCCAATCTCCCAGGGTCCCTTCATCCCTCTTCTTTCTCTCCCCACCATACTACAGGTGTAGAATGCTGCCATGCATTCCTTCTCATCTTTGTTCTACAGAACTAATTACTTTCAATAAAATAGCTTTCCTTTGGGGCACTAATTTCATCCAGTGTCTGATGACCTGAAATTACATGTCTAATGGAATGGAATAGTCGTTCACATTAAAGAAATTAAACACATTTTTTTTTTCATCTTGGTGCCGCCTTCAATTAGATTTTAATCTGGACCACACTAACACATAATGTGGTGTAGTAAGCTTTCTTGAGTACATTTTATGCTTGCCTTTGGCTTCCTTTTTTCTGCACATTGCCTCTTGTGTACATTAGTCATGGTCAGTAATATAAAAGTTGATGGTATTTTTATCTTCAGGTAGCTGCTTTATCTAACCACTTGCTTATAACCTACTAGGCACACATAAATTCAGACTCAGCATAGCTTTCCACTTATCTGGTGGCCATGCACGCATCATTTTGACATGGCAGAATTCTCAACCCCTGCAGTGCGATCAGCAGGCAGGCATGCACACGAGCACACGGCTCCTTTGGCTTAAGATCAGCCCTTCAGAGGAAGCTGATTGGTTACATAATCAGATAAAGAAATAACATGACTGTCCAAGGTTGATTGTCCAAAAAGTTATCATAAGCTTGATGTTAACTTTTGTGTGGCGGATCCTCTCATGTCCTGCTGCAGAGATAGAGTTTAGACTTTGTACTTGTCATGTGGTCCTATCATGTACATATCAGTTCCTCTTTATGGTCGGTCTAAGCAATCCAGGCATGTATATGATGTAAAAATAATCAGGAACAGACAAACTGACATCCATTGTCATCACAGAGTGATGAAGCCACTGAAGTGACAAATTTCAACTCTAAAAAGTACTTTAAGTCCTTAGGTATTAGTAGGAGCATTATGATTGAGTGTTGGCCAAAAGGCATGTTTAATAATGTACAAGCTATTCTATGAATAGCTTTTTCTATCTTAACTATACTTGTTCTGTAGGTTGGTCACAGGCAGAAAACAGGGTCCCACATAGTGTAGTCAATTTGTTGGTAGTGTGCCGTTTTACTTTTGAAATGATACCAACACCTTGGCAGAACCAGGGTTTCTATTTGTACTCTCTTGGGGGAGGAAAGAGTAAGCAAGTAAGCGAGGAGAGTATTGTTTGCTCTGCCTTCTACATCAGACCCCATTTGAAAACATGTCTGAGTTCCAAAAGAGATTGAAATGAAAGAAACGATACAGCTGTCTGAGTTAAAAATAAAAAAAACTGGGGATCACGTGATGCGCCGAGCTGAGCAGACGTGAGTTTTTTGGCTCCGCACTGGATTTTGTTAAAATATATACTTAAGCTCCTTCACCAAACTAAAATTGCCTCGAGTGGCTAGCTGAAGTTCTACGATGTCGCTGGATAATTTTTTTGCAACGCCTGGTCAAAGCAAAAAGAGAGAAATGGCTAAAAGAGGAGGCAAAGCTAAAGCTAGCAGTAGTGACGCTGTAGCTAGCCATGGCGCTGAGAACGAACCTATGGGCGAAGCCGAAGACGAAACAGGTGTGCAGCGCGAAATTGACATTGTGGGCCGAGTGACAGAGAACATCTCAAAAATGTTGGATGACAAACTGGCCGGTGTGATAAAACCTATGAACGAACTCACGGAGAAGTTCGACACATTGATAGAAAGGGTGGAGGCTGTGGAGCAGCGGGTCTCAGATTTGGAAGATATCACAGCGGCAAACGATCCGCGCATTTGCGCTCTCGAGACCCAGCTGAAAAAGGCAATGGAGCGTCTGGACAGTTTTGAGAACCAGAGCCGCCGACAAAACGTGAGGATTATAGGACTGAAAGAGGGAGCTGAGGGGGACGCGCCGGTGAAGTTTTTTGAAAGGTGGATTCCAGAGGTTTTGGGCCTGGAGGAGACTGTGATGATCGATAGAGCACACCGGACGGGACCGCCAGTAAAGTTCGCCGGGAAGGAAGGTCCACGCGCCGTCCTGGTACGAATGCATTACTACACCGACACGCGCAAGATTCTCCAGGCTGCGAGGATCAAAGGAAACGTGAGCACGCCGGCAGGCAAAGTCTCCTTTTATCAGGATTTCTCCGCGGAGGTGGTGAAGAAGAGGAGGGAATCAGCGACAGCGCGCAGAACGCTTCGTGAGGCCGGGGTAAAATATGCCTTTTTGTATCCAGCTACTATCAAGATATTCAACCCTGACGGCACCAACCATTCCCTCAGGACCGCGGAGGAGATTAAGAAATATGTGGACAAGTTGCAAGGAACTTCATAAAACAACAGATAAAACTGTAAAGGTACAACGGCTTACTTAAAGATAGCTATGAATGAATAACATGGGGCTTGTTATACTGTGTTTAATGGGCTAAGTATCATTGTGCAATTATGACTGATATTTCCAGTGCGGGGAGTAAAGTTTCAGTTTTTTTTCCCCTACAGCTGTACTTTTTAAAAGTACATCTAGAACAGTATATTATGTTTATTTTGTTTTGGGTGGGGCTGGGGAGGGGGAGGGATAATGATTCTAGGCCTTTTGTTCTGGTTTTGCCTGGAATCACTGTTCTTGGTTGGTATGGTAATTCACTGTTTATTGTTACAGACTGGTCAACTAAAAATTTGGTTAATTTTGGAAACGGCACACAAGTTTTCATATTTATTTTGAGACATGTCAGTTAAGTTAAGTACATGGAATGTTAAAGGGTCCAACAATGTGATAAAGAAAAAGGCCATATTGAACTCTCTAAAGAAAGATTTGATTCATATTGCTTTTTTGCAAGAAACCCACTTGACCGATGATGAGCACAAAAAATATTGCAGAGATTGGGTGGGACAAATATTCTTTTCGTCCTTTTCTACAAATAAGAGAGGGGTAATTATTCTCATACATAAAAATCTTCCCTTCACTGCTATAGCTACTGCCAAAGATAATGAAGGAAGATATATACTTGTTAAAGGGATATTACATGGAGAGAGTATTTTGCTAGCTAATGTATATGCCCCCAATGTGCAAGATGAAGGGTTTTATACAGCATTATTTACTCAGATAGTAGACTTGGACTGTGACAATATTATTTTAGCAGGCGACTTTAATTGTGTTTTGTGCCCACTAATGGACAGATTACCATCACAAACTATTTTGACTAAAAATTCAAAGGCCCTTTTACAAATTCTGAAAGAGTTCAATCTTGTGGATACCTGGCGATACTACAACCCATTGTCTAAACAATATACATTTCACTCTCAGCCTCACTTGTCGGCATCTCGTATAGATTACATTTTTGTATCCAAAAGAATTTGTCAGCTAGTTACACAGGTGAATATAGGCCCTATAGGCCTTTCTGACCATGCTCCGGTAGCACTGGCTATGCAGCCTCTAAGACATATTGAGCGATCAGCATCTTGGAGAATGAGCACAGTATCTTTGTTGGATGACAAATTTGTATGTATTTTAGATGAACAAACAACATTTTATTTAGAAACTAATGATAGTGAGAATATTGATTCGAGAATTTTATGGGATAGTTATAAAGCTTATCTCAGAGGTGTTATTATCTCATACACAAGTCACAAAAGAAAGGAACGATTAGCAAGGCAGTTAGAGATGGAGAATAATATTAAACAGTTGGAAAATCAATTCTACTGTACTAAATCTACAGAAACATTAAATGAGCTTAAAAGCGCTAGGACAGCTCTCCAAAATCTAATAATGCATAAGGCTGAGAAAGATATTCTTTTTGCCAAACAAAGACTTTTTGAATCAGCTAATAAACCTAACCGATATTTGGCTCGTCTTGCAAAAAATGTCCCTGCAAAATCTTTTATCACGGCGATTGTTGATTCTAATGGTCAGAGACAAATGGAAAATCGTAAGATAAATGATAGCTTCAAAGAGTTTTACGCTACGTTGTATAGCTCTGAGATTGACATGACAAGCCTGTTATCAGGATTTTTCTTAAATGATGTAACATTTCCCCAACTTTCTGAGGAGCAGGTTGACTTGCTGGATTCTCCCATAACGCAGGTGGAAGTAGATAAAGCTATATCTTCACTTCAGTCGGGGAAAAGTCCGGGCGCAGACGGCTTTCCAGTGGAGTTTTTCAAGGTAATGAAGGGAAAATTAGGCAGCTTGCTGCTTAGAATGTTCAACAAATCGTTCGAGGAACTAAAACTACCAGAGACTTTGTACAGAGCTAATATAACACTTATAGCCAAAAAAGATAAAAATCCTGAGTTATGTTCATCCTATAGGCCTATCAGCCTTCTAGGCGTGGATTATAAAATACTCTCAAAAGTTTTAGCTCATAGGTTAGAGAAAGTTTTGTGCTCGATTGTAGATGCAGACCAAACAGGTTTTATTAAGGGGAGGAATTCGTATTATAATACAAGACGCCTTTTTAATATTATCCATTACGTCAACTTTTACCAAATTCCAGGGTTGGTTGTTTCTATGGACGCTGAAAAGGCGTTTGATAGGATTGAGTGGGAATATATGTTTGAAATTATGAGAAGATTTGGGTTTGGGCCAAATTTTATGAGATGGATTAGAATAATATACAACACTCCAATAGCTTCTGTCTTAACAAATGGTCTGCTGTCTTCTCCCATTCAACTGGGGAGAGGCACAGCTCAAGGTAGTCCACTCTCACCACTCTTGTTTGCTCTGGCCATTGAGCCTCTTGCTATGGCCATTAGACAAAATCCAGATGTTCATGGGGTCAAAATTGGGGAAAAAGAGCACAAAATTCTGCTTTATGCAGATGATGTTCTTCTGACATTGACAAATCCAACTGATTCATTACCTGTTTTGATTAAATGTATTAAGGATTTTGGTCTCATATCTGGATATAAAGTGAATTTTGATAAATCTGTTATAATGACCTTGAACAACTTGGCGGGGGATAGTGAACCTGCATATATTAAACCTTTTAGATGGGCCCCGTCAGGATTTGTATACTTAGGAATCAAAGTTACACCAACCATTAACCAAGTGTACAAGCAAAATATTGATGGACTGACTCATGATCTGTGCGCGATGCTGACAAGATGGAGGGCTCTTCCAATATCATTTTTGGGGAGGATAAATCTTGTTAAGATGGTCATCCTTCCTAAAATAATATACCCCACAGCCATGCTGTTTGTAATTTTGAAATCAGAAGACATTAAGGCTATTAATAAGGCTATGGTTGACTTCATCTGGGCAGGAAGAAAACCCAAAATTAAATTAGAGATATTACAACTTCCCAGAGCTTTAGGGGGGTGGGGGTTACCAAACATTGAAAATTATGCTCTATCTGTACAAGCCAGGATCATCTCTGCCTGGATACATGGACACCCTGATTCACCTTGGCTCAACATTGAAACATCGTTATGTAAACCCTCCTCACCTGTTAACATGCTAGGAAGACGTTTGAACGACTTGCCACAAATAATGAAGGATAATCAGTTGATATGTAATGTCTTGTGGGCATGGGGAAAGCTGAGAAAACTGTTTAAGAGTAGTCACCGGCTTAATATGGTATCAACACTTATAGACAACCCAGATCTCCTGCCTCAAGACATAGGCTCGAGTTTTTTGGGTTGGCATAAAGCAGGCATAATTAGACTTTCTGATCTCTTTGAACATGGGGCATTCAAATCGTTTGATTCTTTAAAAACACAGTACGCGTTATCAAATAAGGAATTCTATAAATATTTACAAGTTAGGCATTATGTAATGAAGGAAGCAAAATCATTGATACACCCAACAGACTCGTATAGACTGGAGAAATTCCTCCTTGAAAATAAGGAGCACAAACATTTTATTTCAAAATTCTATTCTGAGATCTATCAGCTAAACTTGGAAAAACTGGCATGGTTGAGGAAATCCTGGGAAACTTTACTTAAATGTGAAATAAGCACGCAATTATGGGATAAAACCCTGCTGCTACCATCTAAAATTTCTGTCTGTAACAGATTCAAAGAAATGCAGTATAACATTTTGCATAATGTATATATTTCTCCTTATATTTTTAGCAAGTACAATGTGGGAACTTCTCCAAATTGCCTCAAATGTAAAATTTCTGTGGGCACCAGGTTTCACTGTTTGTGGGAATGTGATGTCATTCAGTCATTCTGGAAAGATGTATGTGCCAAAATCAGTATAGCTATTGGTGAAATTGTGTCAGAAAACCCACTGACGTGTTTGCTGGGACATATTCCTAAATCACTAGTAAAATATGAGCATGTTATACAGTCACTGTTAATGTTAGCAAGGAAGGCCATTATGGTAAAATGGGTGGGTAGTGAACCCCCCTCCATTTCTTTATGGAAATCGTTAATATCTGATGTTATGACTCTGATTAGACTTGGACATTACATTGATGGAAGTCTTCAATACTTTACAAACACCTGGAGGAAGCCACTGGAAACACTGGGAGTGGAAT